AAACAGTGATGAGCGGGTGGAGGGGCATACGGTGTTTGACCGATGAGAAGAGACTAGAAGATTTGGATTTCGCCGATGACTTGTGTCTAATGTCACACAGACTCGAAGATCTACAGGCGAAAACTAAAAAGTTGACAGGAGAGGCAGCGAAAACGGGACTTCAAGTAAATGTAGAGAAGATAGAGGTGATGACGATACCCAACCAACGCCACCACCACCAACAACAACAAGCTCCAATCACCACCAATGGGAGAAACCTAAAGGAAGTTGTCTCTTTCACCTACACCTACCTAGGCAGCAACGTTTCAACTACAGGCGGCACAGGCACAGACGAGGATGTCAAAACCAGGATTGAAAAGACAGCAAGATAGGCTTTCACTAATCTGAAATCACTGTGGAGATCTACTGCGCTGAACTCAGCACAAAGAAAATCCGGATTTTCAACACCAATATCAAGTCCGTGCTGCTATATAGTTCAGAAACTTGACACGTCACGAAAAGCGTTTCCAACAAACTATAGATATTCACCAACAACTGTCTACGCTCGATACTGAAGATCAGATGGCCAGAAAGAATAAGCCACATTGAACTCTGGACTGGCAACAAAGCAAGAACCTATCGCCCAACAACCGTGCAGAAGGAAGTGGAGATGGATTGGGCATACACTGAGAAGGCCGACTGGGGACATCACGCGCCAGGCCAAGCCGTCGAGTGGAACCCAAAGGGGAAACGAGTTGCGAGTCCCAGCTGAGGGTGACACGGAGGAGATCATGTGAGGAAGAAATGAAAGCTTGTGGGCAGTCGTGGCGCTAGATTCAAAAGACTGCAGGGAACAGAGTTTTCAATGGAGACTTGCTACTGAAGCCCTATGTTTCACTAGGAACCCAATGGAAAAATTATTAATGATAATAAATATTATGGTTATTGAGGTATGATAAAATTAAACTTATTTTTTTACGATGGATCAATAAACTGATCTATATTTGTGCGAAGATTTGAGTCAATATGCTGAGGATTGTACAGTCAAGTACTGAAAATGGAGAAATGACCAAACTATAGGTCAAATGACGACTAATTTCAGTAATGGGAGTTGGTATAAAAGCTATAATACAATCAGTTGAATTCTGCACACTGGAGCTTGGAAGTTATTTGAAAACACCAACAATAACATCAGTTTTCAAGGTGCCTATAGTAAAGCTGTGGAAGATGACCCCCCCCCCCCCAACCAATAGGTCACAAATTCCACCACCGCTCAACCTACTATGGTTTGAGCAGCTAGGTAGTAGCACGAACTCTCACACAATATAGGTGTAGCTCACTGCCTACAGCACGAATGTGCATCAGGTTGGTAAACGCATTTCAACTCGATTCGAACGGCACCTATAACCTAAGAATAACCCACCAATCAATATAGTCGAGCATAGTTATCAATAGAGAACTGGAAGCACCAAACAAAGATAAGGCTGAATTTGAGTCGAATTGTAATTCAGCCATTTTTTCAAATCATTTACAGCTTAGCAGTGTTCACTTACTCTCTTAAATTCATTCATATTTATTGTGTTCACTGGATAACCATAGAATTTTAATTTGTCAATTCTGGTTTGATTTGTCGCTGATTGATTGTTTTTTACAAAAATCTATTGAATAAAAAGTACAATTAGCAAGCTTGTATTGAAGAAACAAACAGAGTAAAACAATAAGCCTTAATGTTATATTGATCTTGGTGACTAGCAGAGGACACGCATTTCATCCTATTTAGAACTCGTCAGCTGGATGTATCTGCACTTCAGTAAGTCATATTGTTCCCAGTGAGACCCGAAACCAGTATCCTTCGCTTCAAATGCCAGAGCGTTATTTACTAAGCCACTGGGGCACGATAGCAGAGCGAAGAATACTGCGTTCGAGCCTCAACGGGGACAACATCACTTATCACATGGGTGCAGGCACATACAGCTGATGAGTCCTAAGTGGGGCGAAACGCGCATCCTGGATTCCTGGATTCATCAGGACCAATATGACATCATGAATATCCAGCAGTATCGGAGCATCTGGATAGGAGCCCATCTATCAACAGAGGTCGAGAAATTCAGCCCTGTACAGCAACAGGAAATTATAAGTATCATTACAACAATAGGCCTCAACTTGATTTGAGTCCATTTTTACAAGATTCAACTAGTGTTGATTTAATACATTGGAAAAGGTCGTGAAGAAATTTGATAACATCATGAAGCAGGATGATGGTGAATATTTGTGCGTAGAGTAGACCATTTGAGATATCTTTGGCATACGGTATAATTCCTAAATGAACAATAATTCCACCAATTAGACAGAGACTAATAAAATCAACGTAGAACCTACCATACAATTGCATCACTGCAAGCTGCCACACTTCACAGAAGTATACAAAGAATATGAGGACAGAAAAAGACTGATATCAAACTTGACAAAGTTGTATGAGAGAATAAACATTCGGAAGATAAAGGTTAGCGAGGATATACAAGCCTTAGAAGGCATCAAGGAGTGAATATAACTGCGCTATTGTGACCGATTTTCCGCTATTTCACCTAGAGCCCACAACCAGTGATTCCTATCGTCTCGAGAACTTCAGCCAAACAGCCTACATATTGATTAAGATCAACAATCACAGACTTCCACCAATCAGTCAGTCAATATAAACATAGGATATGGTATCAACGTCCAATGGTCTACATTGTAACAAATTATGCCAGGATATCAAGATACAAAGAAAGTGAAGCGTGAAAAGAAATTCGGCGAAGAGAAGGATAGATAAAGCAAACAATGATTTGTGGTCTAATAAATGAAATGAAGAAAAGGTATGCATCCATCTCTAACCAGTAAACAACATAAAACTAGGTCACCTTAAGTTTCTAACTATAGATTTCAGTTGTCTGACAGGCACCAAAACGTCAGCCCAGACAAAACAGTCACAGGATTCCCTGACTAATGATACACTTTGATTTAGTTACCGGCAGTTTTTTTCCCAACCCAACTCTATTACATCGAACATCGTGTGTCAGCATAGACGATGACTGTACACGCATAACACATGTTTCAGTCACCTCAGTTGATGAAGGTTTACAATTTAATTAACTGATTCGTCACTTTGCTTCAAAAACTCTACAACTAACATCATTGATCCTCCAATTTTAATGGCTGTAATTCACAATCAAAAGGGAGGAAAGAGTCCACTAAAGTACGTTCAATCTTTGATAAGTGGTAAGTTATATTCTGTCAGCGTAGATAGAATGAATAGTTAGATCGTTCGATAAGGTTATCAACGTAAATTAACACACACGGTTGAAATACATGTTACGGACACAAAGTCAATAGACAGACAGACAGAACCAACGTAGAAGCTCGCACAAAACAGTACCGGTTCCAGTTGCTTTACTTTACACAGAAACATACAAAGAACAAATGGATAGAAGGATTAGTATCAAAGTAGACAAAGCTGTATGAGATGATGAATAATCTGAAGATAAAGGTTAGTGTGTATACTGAAGCTTTTCGATCGTCTCGACGACCCCAATCAGGCAGGCTATATCGCCGATGGCTTGCACCAACAGTAGAATTCATGGACTTGTGCCGCGTTTTGGTCTGGCCATCCTGAACCCTCTTTCAACTGAATCCAACTACCCTTAGCATTATGTATCAAGGTAAGCAGTAGCTAAGCATGCGCAGTAACATATCCAACCCATCTCAGTCGACTGACGTTCACAACCTCAACATTACTCACAAAATGATTCCACCACACGTTAGCAATTCTGAAAAGAAACCTCTATGGTCAAAGACCTGTAATCACTACAAAGTTTACAACTGATTCAGTGTATCCTAATCATTAAAGTCGGATAAAAACGCCTCGAATGGTGATCAAATCAATACAGATACAAAAATGTAAACCTATTGACTGGTGAGCGAAATTGTATGAGAAGATTCAAAAGAATATTTGACATTTTGATCTCTATCATGGAGAATCTGTCACGAAGCCTTAATATTTGCCCTAAAGAAACTTGTTTCATCTTTTTTAAAATAGTTTGAATTTAATACTTTCGAGTCTTTCTTTACAACATGGCCGGCCTATCGTTTTCTCTTGCTCACTTTTTGGAAAAGGTCAAAATTCTTGTGTACGTACACATGTATTCATAACTCCTCCTATCGATCATCAAAGCAGTAAAAGCTCTCGATTATGACTGGTCTTCCTCTTCTAATGGCTTTTGTCACAGGAGGTTATCATCATCATCATCATCATCATCAAGATCAACATAGGACCAGGTGTTACCGTGTAACGGTCAAAGTTGCCACATCTCATCTCATATAAGCAAATCAAGTAACAAGGCAATAAAATGAAAGATGAAGAAGGAAAGAAAAACCGTCAAAGGAGGTAAAAGTAGAAGTAAAAACTAGTACAAGAGAAGAAATAGGAATAAGAAAATGAGGAGGATAATGTGTGTGGGGATTCATCTGCGCCACTGACATCGCTTCTCACCCGTATCACCTAGGGTCAGTCTCGAACCACTGGTTTCTCTTGTCCTGCGGACCCCAACCGGCTAGTCTGCATCGCCCTACATCGCTCAAACAAACAGTCAATGACTTCATGCATTGATGCCATGTTTTAGCCTGGTCACTGATAGCCCTTTTCGAGCCTGAACCTAGTTCGACCAACATTGTGAGACGAGGCATACGTAACACGTGTCCTAGCCATCTCAGTCGATGAAGGGTCACAACCGTATCAATTGCCTTATCTCTCCTGCCTACAACTCTACGCCTGACTTCTGAGTCACTCATGTAGTGACAACATGGAATACAGCCTATGCTACGAAGGTAGCGATGGTCAAACACCTGAAGCCTTCTCATATCTTCTTCCTTTAATGGCTGTTTCGTAGCTATGGAGTAGAACAGATCGGACTGCAGTACGGAGTGTTGAAGTTGTCAGCATCGAAAGATCGAACTAAGAGCTTCAAGCCGGGTGGTATAGAGATGTATACTCGAACAGATCGCAGGCCACAACATAGCCCTGCGCAGGAATCCATTACAATCTCAAGTTGCCCAACTTTCACAACTGTACTTAATGAACAGAAAAGGAAACGTGAAAGGAGATGGAGTATATAAACAAAAGTTACTGAAAAGTAGTATATCTCTTCCCTGGTGGCAGATTTTCAGTACATCATCCAGAGACTTCAATAACTGGTCTCTAGCATTTTGACGAATCCAATCATATAGTCTACATACACTCTTATGTTCTGGCATTATCTATCCGCATAGACAAATCTCCCTGTCGGCTAAAATGGTATATGTTGACTTCATTCTTTCTAATAAAACACTCTGTATGCTTAAAAACCTAAGATTATGTTTTGGTTACAACAATAATGTGTAGTGCCACAGAGACAGCTGAAATTGTATTGTTGCATTCCCACTAGTTAATACGAAGTAAACTACGTAATAAACAAATTTCACTATTCCCATTATAGCGTAACCTTATATATTTTCCATTTCCAAGAATTATCATGTATTCATTCTTCAATCATTAACCCCATAAACACACCGAAGTGACGCAGATGCATCGAAATACACTGAATTTATTATATTCTTTACAAATAGTTGTTCTGGTTTCGCTATGATGGTCAGAAAAGAATGGGAACTTGATAGCTGACAGAGTTGTGAGAGTGATTAACACTTGCCGACTGTCCGCATCATAGAAAGGCTAGGTCCTATTGAGGCACCTGAAAAAGAAGGATAAGCATCAGACCATAGAACCTGAAAGACATTTGCTTGGGACAGGTTGCACACAGTCTTTTCGTAAGCTTGACAATTAGATTTGTTACAGTTGTATCCCACTATGAAGCCATGTCACAGGCATCGGTATGCTGCGGGTTGACAAGAGGGCGCAATTTCTAACCCCTCACTTCCCATAGGTAAAGCAGAATCAGAATGATACTGCTAGTCACCTAAAGGAAACACCTTAATGCTGTCACACTCCTGTCCAGGCGGCAGTACGACTTCCCGCTCAGACCCCCCATCATAATGTAGTAATTTATGCTACAATGGTAACTGCTTTTTACCTAACCACTAGCAAAAAGACCTTTCTAGTATGATAGGATCTCGAAGGAACAAGCGTTCCACCAACATAGCTCGTTGAGTCATTGTAATAGACAAGCCCGACTACCACGTACATTAGGGTAGCGGTTATTACTAGGATCAAAAGAGAATGACCTTAAAACCTTTCTGTAGACATATGCATGAACAATTCAATAATGCTGGAATGTGAAAGAATCACACACATACACACACAAACACTATTTCTGAATGTAAACTTGTAAGATACAACAACAATTCAGTGAATATAAATGAACGGAGGAAAAAAGCTTTACTAACTGTTATAGTGTTGACATTTTGAAATTTTACAAAATTCAGTTGAGTTATTCCACCTTCTTTAAGATCGTCTTCAGTTAGCCTGAAAGCATCAATAAATAAATAAATGAACATCTTTAGGTGTACAAAGTACTTTTTTTAAGAATTTAAAAGTACACAGAAAATGTTGGCGCATTGTTACTAAAGTAGACGGCGAACAAAAAGAAATATACCGACAATGAATCAGTCTCCTACAGAATCATGATTAGCTAAACTATGATTTCAATAATAAATGCGCACAAATTGATAGGAAACAGAGTCAAAAACAGTAATACAATGAAAAACTCTGAATTCAACAACAAACTCCAGTATAGTAATGACGGATAGTAGCTAGTAGTGAAATCCAGGATGCGCATTTCATCCTACTTGGGACTTGTCAGAGACTGATCAGTTCGGTCTAATCAATGACGAGATAATACAAGCAATAACATTATAACTATACCCGTCACACAAGAAATGGCTATCGTGACTCGGTGGTCTAGTGAATAACGCTCTGGTGTTTGAAGCGACCGATCCCGAGTTCGAATCCAAGTGGGAACAACACAAAGAAATAGGTATATTCAGCTGACAAGTCCTAAATAGGACAGAATGCGCATCCTGAATTCCAATGATAGCCACTATCCATCATTACAATATAGTTGAAAACACACAGGATCACATTTGCCAACAAAGACCGATCAATTCGGTCCAATCAACGACAGTATACTACAAGCAATCACACTGAAATTCTAATATATCATCTGGCTAATTTCAGCACTGTCTTGTTTTCTCCTGTCCATGATCAGCCTTAGAATGGTTGAGATCCAAAATAATGATGGATAAAGTTTAAGGTTTTGAAAACCTCAAGAACAATCTCCTTACAGTCAGCAATCAACGAAATGCCTACACGTTGGAACGTCCAGAAGAATACCAAATGCAATGTCGAGTTCGAGTAAATAACCCCACCAGAAGAAGTGAGATTAGCGCTGATAGAGCCATTAAGCGTGACGAGGCATGCAAAACATCAAAACTTGATTGTTATTATCCTGACTCGAGATTTAGGCATGCCTTTCCTGAAACATATTCCAAATCAACGATAACTTTAAATACAACCGTCATCCTCATCCTGAGATAAAAATCTTTTGAGCCTAAAGCGTTTCTCTGTGCTTGTAAATGAGAGATCTTCGTCGGTCGAAGAGGTGCCATTCGAGAGTAGATTTTCTTCATACACGAATGTTTACAGCGGAACATATTGCTACAAAGAGTTAGATACAGACTATCCAACAACTTTCCTAGTGGATTGAAGATTGCACAATAAAGTGGCAAAGAAATGGTGCACCTAATGATATCATATGCACACAAAAATAAATACATAACTTGTATCTATGATGGTTATTAATATCTGCTATTGTAAGGTGAAGTCCACCTGTAAAAAAAAAAGCTTACTCTAACGTCTGTACAGCCTCACCAACCTCACAGCTGTCAAAATCAGGCGTTGATATTTGATTGATAAAAAGTTTCACTATTCTAGGACCATTTTCTAAAAATATTTCAAAATAAACAATATACTACTACAACTTAACAGTAATATAATAGCAACATTAAAAATATATATACGCTTATCACATAATCAGAAATTGAGAATCCATTGCATAGCCTCCAAGAATGAAATAAGTGTCCGATGCATTCTGATATTTAATAGTTCTCCAATTGAATTAAAGTCTTTGCAAGTAAAAGCAAGTCGAAATCATCGATTACTTGAGTGGAACAGTACAATTTTAATAGTTTATACATACATTGAACTTCATTTTTATCGAGGTTAAAAATCAGCTTTCCTACAACAGGTAGGTTTACTCACTATCTTATGGATACACTTATACCTACTAATCAAAGCACCTGTGTAATATTGCTTATTTATGATGGAGTGTTATACAGTTTTAAGCAATTTAGCTAAATGAGTTAGATGATTATAGCCAATAAAGATAATGTCGATATCGATGTGTGATGATCATCACAACATCAGACTTCTTTCAACAAGGTTTTAAGTTACTTAGTTCGAAGTCCATAAGAGAAAGAAAGAGAAAGAGAGAGAACTTTTAAATTGTTAAATTGGTTATTTGGTGCTCGCACCACGGATATAACTGGTAGTAAATGTCCTTGATCAGCTCTGATAGTTTCTACTCAATTCCTTCACTATTTAATCAAGAAAACTTGAAAGTCTTCACATCCGCACCACCTTCAATTATTCAAATCGAGTGAACTGAAGCGGATTTTTCATATCAGTATAGTCACTGGACAGCTGTCTCATTGGATCAGTAGCAGAATGGTACCTTACATTACTCTGAGTAGCAATCCATTTTACCCATAGCTCATATCTTCACATGAAGGCACAGAGATGATAGATAGAGGATGAACAAGAAAGTGGTAAAGTGAGAAAAAGAAGTGAAATTCGATACCACGATTACGGTGAAGATAATAAATGGGCACACTTGCACCAATGAGATCGATTCTCCTCAATAACACCGTAAGCTTCCATCCACCGAGTTTCGTTGTCACATGGATACCAACCGGATGGTCTATATTTCTTTAAACTACCCGAAATGACAGTCAAAGACTTCATGGACTAATGCCATATTTTAATTTACCCATCTATAGCGTTTTTCCAGTTTAAACCTACTTCATGTAACATTATGCAGCGTGATAGACGACGGCTAGGCATGCTGAACGAAAGTCAACAAGAGCTCACAATCTCATCGAATAACATTCCCCTTTCCCCTAAAACGCTCCGCTTGCCTACACGCAGGTCGAATATCTGAAGCCTACTAATATCCGCTTACTTTGAATGGTCACTTTTCACAAACATACAGAACAGAGCGAAATGCAACTCAGTCCACTCTCGACCGTTAATAAGCCGTCGGATATCATAGAGGCACCACAAATGGTATAACCCAGCAAAATTCAGTCGAGTGCTCAGTACGTGTCAACATTATGTTGGCCAGTGATCAATCAAAGCTGACCTGACCTTGCAAGTGGAAGAAGTGTTCATCGCGTTCAACCGACTACCAGACGATATAACATCTGTCGAAATTATCGAATCCATAGATAAACAAAATTCTAAAAAATATTGATCAAATAGGTGATACTGTTTTCATTATGTGTAAAATAGATAATGAAAATCATCTTACTAATTTTACTCCCAACTAATAATCATATGTCTTGAAAGTGTGATAATACCTAACTGCCAAAGTCTTTGTACGTGGAAGGGGACTCAGATGCATAATCCATTGGACGAAAGTCCTCAGTCAAAAACCATGAAATACTGACATACGTTAACTTAACACAAATGTCTGTAGTAATGATAATAATAACAGTAGTAATAATGACAATGATACGAGCATAATGTACAATTCATATACCTTGAGGTCCATTGATCTGTATTGCTTGAATTCGAACAAATTGGGAAAATGTGACATATATGATGAGCTGTAAACACATAATAATATAAAAAACTCAACAAAATTCATCGTTTTCCTTTAGTCAAAATTCATTTTCGAATATGAATAAGCAGAGACTAGTAATTTTGAATACTTCAATTTTCATCATCGAATTAATGCACCAAATGTCAACGCTTCATGTGTCCCACCGACAGACAGACAGACAGAATCAACCCAGGATCTCGCATAAAAGTGCATCAATTCACTTCACAATAGCATACAAAGAACAGCGGGATAGAAAAAGACTGATATCAAAGTAGACAAGGGTGTATGGGAGGTTAAGGAATTAAAAAATATAGGTCAGTAAAAACCTTCAAGCTTTAGATGTCTAGGAGTGAATACATTTGCACCATTGCAACCGATTTTCAGCTATGCCACCAAGAGTCTCCAATCACTGAGTCAGTCTGCATCTCCCCACATGGCTCCAACTTCATCCACTGGTGCCTGGTCTCGGTATGACTATACTGAACTGAACCCTCTTCTAACCTAATTCAACCTTCCCTAGCATTGCGTTATCAATGTAAGCGGTGGTTCGGGATGCGCAGCACATGTCCAAGCCAATTCACCTGATCATAGCCTCATCAACTTGACTAATGCCCCTTCGCACTACCTCCGACATTTCTTATACAGTGAAGATATCTTTGATCAAAAGTTTTTAATTGCTCCATATCTCCTACGTTTAACGGTCATCCTCCAATGAATAACTACTTAAAGATGTGCAGATCGAAACTTGTTTCAGTTGGGCATCACGTTAGCGTGTTACACTAGTATGATTTTGAAATGGTGGAGAATATTTGTAACTCAGGTGGATGGTTTTGGTTGAATTGTGTTCTCTGGGCACTTTAATCACCTAATTTTTTAATATTTTTATGAAAATTAACTCGTTACTTATAAGTAATGCGGTTATTACCATCTGTACGGTGTGTGGAAATATTTCAAACTTTAGCTTTTCATTGTTCAACTTATCTTTCAATGGTAGATTTGTGGCTCACCGGTCTACGCACTCAATATCTAACCGATGGGATATGGATTTGAATGTAACTCTATGCGCCAAGGTTTGGGCAACCAGGCGATATCACTGCTTCTCATATAATAGGTATGACTTAAAGCTTAATTTACAAATGTTCACATGGTTGCTAAGTGAATTTCAAATTTAGAATTCAATGTCTTCCAATGTGCTGTAGTTATATCATCGTATCATTTCAATTATACCATGAAGACAAAGCTGATCTGGATTTCAAGTAACTCAGTAAATTAGTATTTTTCTTCTATTATCATTGTCGTAACACTTTGTATTAAATTGACATTGATATTCTCTTCATTTGGGAATAAACGTTTCAGTCCATTAAAAATTTCATGGTGGACCTAGCAGTTATATGATTTGTAGTATGCAATACCAGGCGTCGTCAAGGTCAAAACCCAGTGAGGTCGGTTGTCAATGAGACATAAAAGATCATGTGTCTCGAAAGCCATGATTTTCTGTCCTCGAGTTTATAATTGGCTATTAGTTATTATTACCAGTGGAGGTAGGTATATGACAACTTTTACTGGGACCACAAAACCTTCAAAAATTTCCGGTAACAGCATTTAGGAGACTGGTGCATGATAGTATTCAACAGACATAGGAAAGCAGAGACTGCGTTCACACCAAAATCTTCCAAGTCGCTGTAGACAATGATCGGTGGAGAAAGTGATAATGAGCACCTATGTATAGTTAGGAAGGGCTTGATAACTGTTTAGATTAGTTAAACAGATGGACACCAGTGAGTGGAGCCACTGAAAGATAGATAAGTGATTCAATAAAAACAGGTAGGTACCGAGGTCATGAAAATGAAAGTAAGAATTGTCAGAAAACAATAACTAATCAAAATTTTAAATTGTAACATGTTTTACAAGAGCCTACAACGCGATACGAACCTCAAAAGACATTGTGTGACTTAACAAAAAGTTATTTGTACGCTACGACGCTTGGCTTTGGAAACACTTCCGTTTGTGATACAAATGAGAGAGATTAATTTCAAAACAAGCCTCTAGCATTGTAGTTTTATATGCCAACACTCACGATTTTCTTCGGCTAGAATTTAGTAGTTAATCGATATATCGGTACATAAAGAATACACTGATGGTAGTTCAGGATCTTTTGAGCTTTGATAGTTTGTCTTGGACCCCTCATCACTAGGCTTAATGACATTCTGAACACTAATTTCATAAAGAAGTGAACCTTATGTTGTACGAATGTTTAGGTAGTGTTTTCTGCTGCTGACCTTCAGTGTTGTTCAATTGTAAGTTGGAGAAGAGATCTTTATCACATTGTGACTTTTTCGACCTCAAATTTCATTCGGTCACGCTGGTGGAGAATTTTTGTTAGAGTGAGATTGTGCTATTTTCCACTGTAATACTGTGCTTCATTATTGATTTGCTTGGACACTCTACCCTTATTTCATGGATGGCTACTTTTCGTGAATGAAATTGGAACTAAGCGTTTGTTGATGATTGACCGTTCATTTGAATGTCATACTTCTAAATATTCTCTCGTGGCTTTCGAACCTGCTCTTTACAGGATTCTCACATTCTATCAGTCAAATTTGTGATTGTGATTCTTTGCAAGCATTATAACCAAGGTGACTGCGTTATGCCAATTTACTGTCAGTTGGTAGTCATAAATTCTTAGAGAAATTTGATAGCCAGACTGGCCAACGTAGTGCTGTGAACAGTCTATGTAGTTGACTTTGCAGATTAATATTTGTTCTACCTTCTATCGACAAGAGACCCTTCGACTCTCATAACATGATCTCTAGTAATCTCGTTAGTTTGTAATCCACTTCGATTGCGAAAGGATGAAGCAATCGGTCGAACGGTTTTTCAGATATTCTTAATTTAGGGCACAGAAATATGCTTATTGATTCAAGGTGATTCAATTGTCCTGTCCTGTCTACTAATAAACTTTTTTTGATAAGGTTATGTGCACAGTCATCGGCTTTGAACACTTTGCTAGGGTATTTTTTTTTCCTGAGCTTTTCGTAGTGCTTCAGTGCTGCAATGTGTTTCAGCTCTTGAGAACAGTGTTTTTATACAACCTTTCTTATGGATTGTAGGATGATTGCCGTTATGGTTCAAAATTTCATCCATATGTGTGGTTTTCCTACCCCCATCGCGTACTCTGCTAGTGCATCATCTAAGAATGGGATTTTGTCTTTGTGAAATAAATTCCTTTAAATGTTTGGTTGATTAGTTTGGATGTGTTTTCTATCTCATTCTCCTTGTCTATTACGAATATGTCGTTAAAGTACTGAATCCAAATTTTGGTTTGATAGGCGGGGTGACTATTGATTCTAGCCGCTGCATTACTACTTCAGTAATCAACCCTGATATTGAATATCCCATAGGTATCCTTTTATTTGTCAGTAAATCTTTTGATTAATCTGTGAGTAGATCGTGAGGCATTACATCGATCAGCTCTATTAAGTTTGGAATAATCCGAAAGATTTTGATCGTTCTTCACAAGAATATCCATCATCTTCCAAGCTAGATTTGAGTCGACTGAAGTGAAGAGTGAAGCCACATAAAAGAGCACCCACCATCTTTCCATCACTGTCCATCTTCAAATACTTTTGTGGAAAAGCTCAATTGTTGAACTAACTGAATGTTAAGTTTTCTATATAGCTCTTTCGGTAGATTGAATAAAAGTGTCCCAGGTAATGAAACTATTCTAATATTTATCTTCTGTGTCTTAAGTCAACACCGTAAAACATTGTGATTTGGTCAGCTATTATCAAGTTCTTCAGTTCGTTTCCTCAATTGGAAGAAAACATCCTCTTCCCCAACTCACAACTGGACAACACTCAAGATCAGTAAAAACACTACCTAAACATCCATGTCACATTTGAATAAGCTTCATTTCTCGATAAGGTTAGTGCTGAAGATGTCACCAAGCCTGATGAAGAAACATCCATAACAAACTACTAGAGCTCAGATAACATCGAACCACCATCATCCTCATCTTGAGGTAAAAAATTCTCCATCATTTCACAGTATACAGTTTAATCGCTTGTGGGTTCATTTACAACGGAAAGTACTTGATAAATAAGTTACGCCTAATAAAGTCTTTGATGAATGCTTAGTTGGCAACTGTTGAATCCAACAACTTCGGATACTTCAAAATAATGAAAAACTATGAAATTGCTTTCATTAACTTACTTGTTCGTCTGTGTCTGAGAGCAGATAAGCGTTCAAATCATCAGTTGAGTTCAACAGTTGGGACAGTGAATGTGAATCATCTTCATTTAAACACTCACACTGACTTTTTGACAATAGTGTATCCAGATCAAACTGTTGACGAATATACATGTTGGACGGAAAGGAAACAAAACGAAGTTAGCAACAATGAATAAATAATTCAGGCAAAAAAAAGGATTTCCAACAAATATATTGATAATAATTTTGACGATCTAAAATAATCGTGGCTTGGCAGACCTGCATTATTGGATACTGGGTGATGATTGAAGGTGAAATGAAAATTTGGACCGCAGTCGAATTCGAACCACCGACCACCGGGTTTCCGGCCCGATGCATCACCAACTGAGTGAGCTATGAGATCCAACTGCTGACCAGATTTTTATTTCACTTCAGTCATCAAGGGTTCTTCCCGACTATCAAATGAATTCGTGACGTGTTACTACCGCCTAGTCCTACTGGCTGCTTAATCAGGACTTCTCATTTAAATCCAAATCAAACTGAATTAGAGAGGGAAAGCATCCTATTGATTATCATTTTGACTATCTGAGATAGTCGTGGTTTGGCGGACCTGCATTATTTGATACTGGGTGATGATTGAAGGTGAAATGAAAATGTAGTCGCTGGTTCGAATTTCACCGCGGTCCAAAATCTCATTTCACTTTCGATCATCACCCAGTAAAAATATATTAATAACTGCGGTTGATATCCAAGCATGGCAACAAACGTTGATCGAGAGAGAAGTGGAATTACCAGCTGAGCTAACAGACTTCAATGTCGCTCCAACTACAGTGTTTTGTCTGGCTGCCATCATGAGGATAAGAGGTATATACTGACTGTTCAATTAAGTATTATCTTTCTGATCCGAATTTAGGTTACAGACAAGGGGGGCAACTAATTAATTGTTGATCAGACCGTAGCTCTGATTGACAAACTGATTCTTATAATCAGGGTCGATGAATGGAAGTAATTACAAACCTGGATCGATGAGCCATTTCACATGAGTAAGTTCATGATAACCAGTAGAATATCAATGGTTTGATTGTCATTAGGATCTTGTCATCAGTCAACTGGTTTTAAATTGATTTGACTGCAGGCATACCCATTCGAATATATTGCGTACTGAGTGGTATCTCTTTCACACACACACACACACACACACACACACACACACACACACACACACACATACACACATTCCAATTCTCCGAACCAAATGGAGTAGGACTGAAAACTGAGTCAATTTCTTGAGAATTGGGTGCTTACAACAGCAGACTATGAGTGTGAAACATATGTTTCAAAGAAAAGTATCTATGATAATTTTTTGGTTGTGGCTGGCAGAAGAATCCAGGACGCGCGTTTCATCCTACCTGGGACTCGTCGGCTGGATGTACCTGGTTCGAGTCTCAGTGGGAACAACATCATTTACTGAGGTGCAGCTACATCCCGCTGACGAGTCCCAAGTAGAACGAAACGCGCGTCTTGGATTCTTCAGCTAACCACAACCTTAATTAACACTCAGGCAATATCGAGGCATCCACATAGGAACCCATATGCCAATAGAGGTAGGACAGTTAGATTCAATAAGACGGAGAATTCCAAGTATGTGAATAAATAGTAGAAAGTACCTATGGTTGAAAATGTGAGCATATCTTGTGACATTTAAATATGCTGCTGAACAGTATATATAGCTAAATGTATCTCATTAACACGGCCTTTTAGAACAATGAGGTAAAGTGGTTGGATAGGCGACACCGAACGTGTTTTTGTGCGATGCTTTTGAGACGCTTGTTAACTTTCTGAGGAACACCTCTTTGTTACAAACAATCCCAAGACATGATCGCACCGAACAAATAAATTACAATGCGGAGGTTTGTGGGGAATTACTTACTGATTTCAGGCTGGTGTCAGTCGGTGATGAATACTAACCGTAATATTGAAAAATGAAATGATTATTGGCCTGTAACAAGTGTTATGGTGTTGAAGCACCTTGCACGAAAGATTAATACAATAATCAATACATCTGCAACACCAATAGAGCCTGATTTACCATCAGCAAACAAGTATTTGTTGTATTTTAGAGTCTGTAAACGTAGATGGCAACCAGCGTTTTCGGAGTACAGGGTATCATCACAATTAGAAATTATACTTTTGTGGAGCATAATCGATATGAAGACTACGTAGATTTGACAAAACAGGATAATGACAAATGTAATGACACAATGATAAGTTTGTATTCACCACGAACTGACATTAGTTAGGGAACTTTTGAAAACCAGGGAACACCGGGTAGGTGTTTCTCCCTAGTATGGGACTCCACTCGGTCAGGTTGAGTAGCGAACGAGTTAACCATTCAGCCACTGGATAGGAATTTAATGGTCTACACTTTCCTACTTCCGTCAATTCGCGGTATAGCACGACTATCCTCCACAAAGGATTTCAGTTGGCGCCCGCCGCACCTCCGACTGGTAGACTCTACTGGTCAAATCTTCTCATCAGAACTTCGGGATATTCATCTTGAGGCATGTCACTTATGAGCACCATACAGTAATGTAGTTTAAGGATTATGGGGATTTTATTTTCAAACTACAATGATAAATGATAACGTAATAGAACGTTTCTTCACTTTTGAGGTTTGTGGGGATTTATTGACTGATTCCAGGTTGGTATTAATCATGGAATAACATCAGTTGGAGAACAGTCGAAAACACGGGAGCACTGGACAGCTGTTTCCTCCTAGTATGGGACACCTCAGCAGTGTGCACCCACGAGCCTACAAGGGATTGAATCCAGGACCTTCAGGTTATGTGGCCGGCACGTTGCCATAGAGCCACTAAGTCGGAATCCAATGAAGCTGAGAGGTCCTCGTAGCTCAGTTGGTAGGGCATCGGGCCGGAAACCCGATGGTCGCTGTTTCGAATCCAGCCGCGGTCCAAATTCTCACTTCACCTTCAACCATTACCCAGTATAAATACTAGTCTGCCAAACAACGGCTATCTCAGACACTCAAATCATATTCTTATCATTATTGAGATGATCATTATTATTATTGCCATTATTGTTATGATTGTCTAGACATCTACTATTTGCATGCTTCATTTCCTAGTTACCACAGACTAAATAATTCACTATGATTGGTTTAATGTTTTAAGTATGAGGAAATTTATGCATATTAGCGTAAAGCCTGATGAGAGCTAATTGAAAACAATAATGTTCGCACCTCTTCTAATTTTGATAATGGGAATTTTCAACATTCTTTAAATAAAGAATATATAGACGAATCGCTAACATGTAATAACTTTTAAAATAAAAAGCTTACTTGTTTAGAAGACTGTGAGCCTTTTTCAGAACCGCTTTCATGTGAGTCTAAAGCAGTAGAACTAGTAAGTTCTTGAACTTTGTCTCTTAATTTTTGTGGCGCTGCACCCATTAGACGGTCGATTTGCTTATTCCCACGGAAAAATAAAAATGTAGGCAACGACCGAACATCGTATCGTTCAGCAATATCCTAAAGAAAATGAAAATGAAATTCTAAAATAAAACTTTGAAAATCATACCCCACGTATACTTACTGATAATATGCCTAAACGGTAGTGAAAATGATAATTTTTCCTTCGATCAAGATATTAAGGATAATTTTCCTCTGCTCTCGCCACTTGAGTCATGAATAAACTTTATCCAATCAAAAATTTGGCCATTAGTGACATAAACAATTATAACAGAGATAGTTTGTCTACGAAGAACCTATTTCCATAATAGTGGAGTAGTGGCCCACTGGTTATAAGAGTCGAGTTTCAAACACTGCACCATGAGTTTAAACACCATTCCACCTGCCAAGGTTTCGACAGCTAGGTAGTTTCATTAACCCTCACACAATAAGTGTGGATCATTGCCTACTGCATGAGTGTGCACAATTTTGCTAAGTGGATTTCAATCCAATCTTTATTTATACAATAATTCAGTAGTCAGTCGAAGAGTAGTTTATTTTCCGGTATTCAATAAGAATCATTTTTTCATCGAAGTTCACAGATAGAATCTTTGTTCCTTAGCTCTTAAAATAAATGAACACATAGAAAGGAAAAAACAGGAAGGCGGTTAAAACAATGGTTCTGTGCTATATCACATTCTCATTCACCTCACATGATTATCGCAAACCACTGTATTTACAAAAAATTAAGACACTAGTCATGATCTGACCAGATAGGTAAACCAAACCAACCAAGAACCTTACGGAGAAATGCATCGGTTCACGTTACTACACTTCACATCAACATCCAAAGATCAAATGGGTACAAAAAAATATTCAAACTGAAGTCAGTCCATATCAAAATGGGACCTTATATTACTGCGCAATGATGCATATTGCTACATCTCATATCAGTGCATCAAGAGAAAGCAACAAGTTAAAAGGTGAAGAAATAAGGAAGATACATCAGCGCCACTAAGACCGATTCTAAACCATATCACCTAGAGTCTTAAACTACTGGTTTCGGTTGTCACAGGAACCCCAGGCTAATCTACACAATTTAATATCACAGAGGTGCCATAAATGATCCGAAGCTGATGATGACCACGCGAGTCTTTTGTATCCTTGCAGAGATTTCGGGAGCCACCGACCCACCTGGGCGATCCAACCTTCAGGTGAGTGAGGTGGTTTCAGTCCCTATTGTTAGATAAGGCATCAGCGAAAACCAGCTCTGGAGCAACAATTTGCATTTGGGTGATGAGAAACGAATCTCAAACATTCTCAAACTGTCATCCAATGTTTTTAGAAGCCTGCATCTTTTCAGTATTTTCACCTTAAAGAACTACGTCATCCATATACACTAGGTCTACTACGGAGTTGCATGCGACAAGATCAACCCCTTTACACGAAGAAAACCTCTATAAAAGAAGTCCATTGGAATGGAAATCTTTTCGACCCCCATTCCCATAAGGAAGGCACTGCTGGGCATCTAAGGGAAACACCCTATCCAGCTAGCAATACGACTTCGTCCTCGGACTCTCATCAGTGCAGTAATTTACACAATAACAGAACCTGATTTTCGTCTAACTGCCATCAAACAGGCCTTTCTGGTATGTTAAAACTTCAAGGGGACAAGCGTCTCACCATCTTATCTCGTTGGTTCATTGTGATAGGCTGTGATAGTGCTGACGATGTCGTCTAACAAGATGATGAAAGCTTCACGATTAAACAGCCCAGCTCAGAGAACACAATACAACCAAGATTGGATCTTTGCCTTAAAACTCATGGAGAAGGATTTTTCCGTACATCCACTTACTTTGGCCTAGGCACCTAAACAGCATCTTAGCTCACGAATAAACAATGCCTAGTGTGATACACCTCTAGCTTTTAACAATGTAAAAAGCGTGTGTTTTAAAGAATTCAAATATTAAAAACTTGGTATTCACCTGAAATTTATCAACGTCAATTTTAACAAACTTCATATTTGTGTATTCAGTACTCAACTGCTGGAAAACGGGAGCGATTTCAGAACAAGGATGACACCATGAGGCATAAAAATCTATCACTACAATTGATGGACCATGTTTTGCCTCTTGCAAAATCTGTTCCAGTTGTTGTTTAACTGTAATATTAATCACAGTAGCCATTTGATAAACAATTTCTATAATTAAAACAAGAGAAAAATTTACCAGTGTGATCAAAGATAACATATTCTAACTTCACTTTCAGTAATCACAAAAAAGGTAGGTAATTTTACCATCTGCAAGCCTATGCATTTCTTAACACCTGAAAAACTACTCTTCACCTAGATCCCAGTTGCACGAATTGAGGAAATGATAAGATGAAATACCGTCAAGAAGCTATTTACTTCAAACCCATCTCAAGTGAAAGTAGGAATAAACGTGGTGACCCATTCGGAAATGTCAATAGAATAGTACCTACTGAAGAGTGAGAACACAGGGTGGGGTGTGATCTTGCATATTAAAAACAAACAGACCATATCTTAATGGTTTACCATGTGCATAACCCTTGAAGGCCGACAAACTTTCGCTTACTGATAATGAAACTTAAATTAGTCCTTTAGACAGGCGTACATTATCTAAATCCAAAGCACATTCCTATAATTAATGAGACCATACCAACAACAGCAACATGGGTAAAATGCTAAAATAAATCAAGCATGTTCGTGTTGTGCAATATGCTGATGGGAGTATGACAGATGCGGTTTACACTTAGATAACGAACTCAAGGACGTTAAGTGTGCAGTTTGGTCGTCTGGATTGGTGTTGTGAAATACTAGTTTATGAAATATAGTGTAGAAATGATTGTGTGCAAAGCTAACACACACACATATAATTAGTAGTGTTGCACTTCATTTTGCTTGGTAAACCACTTTACATATCATCAGTAAAATTTCGGTTGAAGTAAGTCAACCACTTCCATATTAGATTTGTTTATTTGATTTATAACACAAGTGATACGGTACTATTTACTTGCTGACGTTTCAAGCACAAATTGTCGCTCATAATACCATCAATGTAATGACACAACTTTCGACATCTGATTTTTATATAGTCCTGTCACCTCATATTATTTGTTTTTACTGTTAGTAAAATTTTCCATACCTCTGGTATGGGTGTTGTGTCATTCCCGTAACACGTTAGATGTTGATTCTACTAATAAAAACAAATATGAGGTGACAGGACTATATAAAAACCAGAAGTCGAAAAGAGTGTGATTACATTGGTATGATTATGAGTAATGATAATTTATGCTGGAAACGTCACCAAGTAAATAATACTGCATCAGTGTTATAAATCAAATAAACAAATCTAATACGGAATTACATCCTACCACAGTATCCAAGTTTTAAACTTATATCAAGTCAACTACTCCCTTTTAACATGAGAGTTCTCATTATGATTACATGAATTCAGAGCACAGGACGCCTTTCTGAAAATGATCTCGACAACCATGTGCATTTTTGTATAGAATATGATCAGCAACACTTATTCTTTGAGGGTTAATGATATTAATTAGCTGTCCATACCTGGCCCGAATAGCTCAGTGGTAACGTCTCTGACTGAAGCACTGGGTGACGCGGTTTCTAATTTCAGGTGGGACATCAGTTCCGTAAAGGTTATACATTCGCCTTGCAGACAAGTGCCAAAAAGCACAAAACCTAGGTCCAGGGCTTCCTGCAGATTGCCTTAACCCAACTAATCAGTAATCTGCTTGCATAAAACAATAAGTCCAATGTCCACGATAATCATCGGCTTCAGAGAATATCTAGAGATTGAGATGCTACCAGGCTAAGCTTGAAACCCTCCTCCATACCTCCCGTTACCAACTATATGAATATTTGGTAAGATTCAAGGGAGAATTATGATGTACATATGCGGATGAACTGATGTAGGACCGGAGGCAGAGGTGTATTATTTAGAGAAGTAACACACACTGACACTGAATAAAGAGGAAGTGGGCAAAAAAGAACATTAAAGATAAAACTGAACGAGTAAGGATTGACAAGATTTTCAGAGCTTTGATGATAAACAGTGTGTACACCCGCTCTACTGTAACCCGTTTCAAGCCATATCACTTACGGTTTTTAACTATTGGTCTTTAGCACCATGAGAAACCCAGTTATGCAAATTAAACATTCCCACTTAGCTCAGACCAGAAATCAAAGACCTTCAGGATTGATGCCATATCTCGGTTTGGCCACCCTGACCTAACCCTACTTTTGGTCATTATAGTGTATCGATATAGATGGGTCAGAATTCGCCAAGTATATATTCATACCATTTTAACTGATGGAATTTCATAGCACCAACCGGCTTACCTTCTTTGCCCACTGTTTAACACCCAATCACGTTGTTAACATTATGGTTTCACTACATTGTATACAGTAACACGAATTCACCCAATACCAAGAACCTGCAGTCTTCATGTCTTTAACTTCCGACTGTCATCTCTTACAACTATAAAGAATAATCCAGCATACTACTCAGTAGTATATCCAACACTTGGTGGATAGTCTGACACCTCACCAGCTCTAGAGGTGATACCAGTTGGTACATGAAAAAGCCGATTTTTGTATCTCAGCTGGGAGTGCGCCACTAACCAACCCATCACGCACTATGAGAATTCCGAAACAGTTACAGTAGTCGATGCATGCTGCCACTCCCCTTCGTTTTCTAGAACCAGTGGTCGGTGCAAACCACTCCTGAGGCACCATTTAATATGTGATACTTTCCCTCTGAGAAAGACAATTCCTGTGGATTGAATTGTATTAGCCAATCTGAAGCCCATAAGTATGGACATGTGGACTTTTTGCGAATGTTTGGCAGTTAGAGAATTTGAGGTTTCATTAGAGAACCCTGAAGGTAATTTTGGACTCTACAGCAGACCTCAACAACTTACTGAACTAGTCAGAGACGTGTTTATTGTCTGCTTTGGAGAAGTTGATGTGCAATCACATATGTAGGATGTGTACGTAAAATCAGTCATGTCATTGAAGTTTTTCTATCTTCAGTCTTAGTCAGTAATGAACTAAGAGTTTTTTTCAGTTACAACCTGTAAACATAAAAACTGCTTTTACAATTCTACTCTATTCCGAGAAATACTCAGTTTTCGCTAAGGTTAAAAGAGACATGTTCACCATCTTTTGTACTCTGTCGGTTAGATATGTTCTGAACTGTAAAGGCAAACCTATTTAAAAAGGGATCCAGATCAAATGGACATAGTATAAAGAGAGGGATAGATAAGAACATTTGAACCCACTATACTGTAGATAAAGGATAGAATTATTCAAGAGGTACAAATCAGCATCAGAAAGAGACCTGGTATTAAAGTCTGATGGAGTGTACGATGAAGTTGCCTCATATCAACACACCAAACTAAGACGTACTAAGATGAAAAATAGTGAAATAACGCACTAAGTAGAAGTAGAAAGTCATGGGAATAAGGAAAAAGAAGTGTGAGGATTTAAAAAGTGTGGCTCAATGATCGAATTTTATAACAAATATCTAATCATGTTTTGAAGTTAAAGTAAGAACTCTGTGAATACGCTGTACTACAGTGGTCCATAAGGGCTCCAAGTAGTAGAATCCACATACTCTAAGACTATCTGGCGAAACTTACTCGTCATAAACGTCTCTCTGCTAATATGTGCTCAGTGGTGACGTTTTCCAACACATTTACGCTTAAACGCAGTGAAACAGTTTTACTGATTGTTTTTAGCCCTATATTGGTACTTATTAGTTTGATCAAATTATCTTCGCTTGCAATGTGCCCTACACTGATGTCTTACGTCTTGGTCAGCAACCAAATGCCATGGCAGACAATCCACTACCACTTTTAGTCTGCTAATTAGGTTTGTCATACAGTGAAAGCATTATCTACTGGTCACCATTTTATACATAATTTATTGTCCATATTCACATCATGTAACTCCAAAACTTTGAGACATGGCTTATACAGTCTTGATTCATTTTTCTTGTTTGTGATAAGGGTATTAGATGCAGAATCATTCCTATTACTGCAGGTATTTAGTGTTCATTGGATAAGCAAAGATTCGGTCATCAATCTCTCCCTCCATCCAACTAGGTTGGTTTTAAATGCTATTGCTTTATCCCGCCCAATTCTAAGAATGTGTGCAATTTCAAGCACAGATATAGCCGAGTTTTACTCAAAATCCCTCATTTTATCAGGACCTAACCATGATGGCAAGTTAACAATTTTTTCGGAGCATACTACAACTTTGGACCCAGCAATGGATCTTGGATCTGATGTGGAGCCAGATGTAGAGTACATGGGGTCAAACGTTGGACCACTTTTCCAGTCGGGAGAAAAAAGTGGGGCCAATAGGGCTGGTTGTGGGGTCAACAGTCTGTACGTGGGGTCAGACGTCCGACCATTTGTAAAAACTTAGGGATAGATCTAACCCTTTGTTTCTTGACGCCTAAGTTTTTGCAAATGGTTAGACGTCTGACCCCACGTACTGATTTTCGGCCCTACAACCAGCCCCACTTGGTCGACTGAAACAGTGGCCTAACAACTGGCTCTATGCGCACCACATCTTGCCATACATTAGATTCACAGCCCAACGTTGCCCTATTTGGCCCAACAAAGTTGTTGGTCGGGGACGTAGGGAAAACGTTGCGAAACCCAAAGTTTGGCCTTACACTTGATTCCACGTTTTATATAGTGAATGGCACCTCGTTGTCGTACTTGGCCTGATGTGTGTATAAACGCGTTTGTTGCACGTGATGTTAAGGTACAAGTGGCGTAAGTGTGTATCAGATCAGCCACAACTGCTTCTTGTGAACTAGTTTAGACAGCTTTTAGGTTATAATACACATCTGCACTTCAGCATACCTGTGTGACGCTAAGATTGGAAACAAACAACTTACTCGATGCTCTACAACGTAACTGTTCGTCTGTCGCGCTTCAATAACCAATATCTTTTTACGAAGTGTACATCAACTGATTTCTTCGCGGTCGCTTTTAAACCTTGTGGAATGGTTCCAGATCTCTGGTTGATTCAAGTCTATTATTAGCAGTGTGAGTATATGATACATTTATTTTTCCATTTCTTCCTTATAGGTCTCGAGGCTCGGTTCTTTTTATTCCGTCATACTCTTGTGGTAGTCCCAGAAGTCTTTACAGTTAACCTTGTTATCACTTTGAAAGTAGTGATGGTTTCTTTTAAGGTTTTCCTTTGCAAAACTTAGCTTTGTTTATTTGGGGGGGTAACAGAGATGCTGATAAAACAAACTAACCTTTTGCAATTCCTGTATTTGAAGGCATCCGGAAGTATAAGGAGTTAATTAATGGGCAGTGAGAGGAATAAACCAAGTGGGGAATGAGAGAAGAGGATTGCAAAGTAATTACGGAAAGTCAATTTTACCAGTTATAATATAGAGGAGAGATGAATCTTACTACAGATACCAGAGTTGAGGAATCCAGGGATTGACAAGCATAACTTCAGTTGCTGCCAACCACTATTGGGGAGGAACTCGTTTGCACTCTTGTATTTACCAAGCAGTCGTTTAAAGGAGCAGATCGGCGTGTCCGTGGCTACTTCTTTCCTCAGAGCGTACCATAAGGCATACGCTGTTTGTGAGAAGTTAGATTTCAATCTCTTCCCTAACCTTGGATGGAGTATGACATGGTGATTATCACAAGACTGTAGGTTCGTGACTGAGAGTGTTGTTCATTGGAGGGATCTACCTGATGGATGATCATGTAGGTTGCTATTTGGTCATCTCTTCTCCTTCTATAGCTTAAGATGAACAAGTTGAGTTTTCTAAGATGTTGAACATAGGTTTGGCCTTTCTGTACGAAAACTAACCTTATCTCCTTCGTCTGCACTTTCCTGAAAGTACTCAATTCCCTCTCTGGTAGACGACATGCTGCAGTGCTGAACACCTAAGCGTGGTCAAACAGGTTTCAAATACTATGGAGAAACGTTCGGGGGTTCGGGCTGCAAGCCGCCTACCCAAAAAAGTTATGATAGGGTTTGCCTTTGCCTCCGGTTCCTGATAATTAGCACTAGTATCTAGTGTATCGGAGAAGTTTAGTCCTAGGTCCTTGTCTGTGGACACCATAGTGGTTTCGCACCAATTGAGGGTGTAGCTGGTATTCGCCGCTTCTGACATGTAGATAGCCATCACTTTGCAATCCTTCAGGCTAACACCCAGATCATTCTCAGCTGATGAGGACCTTGACCGCACTGGCTGCATGGGCAGCGACAACACCTAAACAATCGCAGGAAGCTGGCAGCTTTCACCTTTTATCGCTTCATTTAGCAGACTGACTCGTTTGGTCGGGTTTTAAGTATTTTATGCTCGGGGAAATCTTCTCCACTTGCCCGCCCTGGGATTCGATGACGTGAGTTCTTGCTGTAAGTTTTATGCAATTCCAATCTTTAGTAATAATGGCAGTGGTTAATTCTACCTTCCAGAAGGTTCATTGTGTAGATCTTGTCTTTAGTTGAGGTCATTTAGTTGGGCACGGATTTCCAGTCATTGACCGCCGTGAGAGAAGCTGGGGCCAAGGTTAGGTTTACTGGATCATGGCTTTCGTAATTTTGCTGAGGTGTCTTCCGGGTCAACTGACACCGGAGGGAGAGAAATAAGGCATGTCGATCCCAAGGTCACTGTCTGGAATATGCAATTTTCTACAACAAGACGATGATAAAAGATTTAGCCCTGATAAGCAATCTTCTGAGGATATGTTGGATAAATTAGCCGTAGATTTAGCATCAAACGTTTTCAGTGGTTACTAACAGAGTAGAAGAAGCTTTTTCAGCTGGCTTCCGTGTCTGGAAACAGTGATTGTCCGTTTCCTGTGTCTGGGTACCTGGGTATGGCGACAAAGAAGGGGTAAGTGATAAGGAATTAAAGACCAGTTTATAAGCTAACTGTTCTGCAGGATGAACCTGTGAATATCACGTTTGTGATTGAAAGACTTGAGTAGTGCAGCCCAAGCAACCTCTCTGGGGAAAGCAGTCCAACCCTTCACAACTCTTAGGGAGAATAACTTGTGCCTGATGCCCATCCTACCGTGTTCAAGTTCTAACTTATGGGTGTTGCCCACACGGTCCGTGTTACACCATGGTTTAAGCAGGCGGTAAAACAGAACCTGAATTGTTGAATACGTACTAAATCATCGTAAAATCACCGCTCGTTCCTCCATATTCCAACGGGTATACATTCAGTGATGCCATGCAATTTTCTTACCACCCAGGCCTTAGTCCATGAATGCACCTAGTACGGCTAATCTAAATATTTTTTGATCGATTCGTATCCTTCCGAAGTGAAAAGAGGTGACAGTCACAAAATTTAGGTGGGGCCGTAAGAAACCGCCGAAAATGTAATAGATACACTCCGTTTCAAAGTGTCTGAGGACTCATCACAGGGTCGCAAGAGCCATATTTGGATGCAACTTACTTTTGTCACAGTCGGTGTACGGTTTAAGCTCGTGGGGTCTGAGGCCCTAACGGAAATGCAGGTTATGGAATTTTCAGTGAAGCAGATGATTGGTCGCTAATCAATACCCTATGACCACTCCAGTTAACTCCCAAGTAGGGCAACTATTTTTATTTTGTAATCATTTTTTAATTCCCCCACTGGGCAAGTCTCCTTTGTGATGCAATTTACATTGACCTTTGGCAGGAAATCACCCTTAAATGTCATGCGCTTTCCACTATGTATTCGCGAGTGTACAGCTAAGGAAGTGCTTCTATCTAAATGAAGGATAGTGAAATACCACTTCATTTTGGTGCACAACCGCAGCGGACCAGCTATGGTTTGGTAGATATGAGACTCGCAGAATATGTGGAATTGGCCACGTGTAGACAGCTTACAACTTAGGGAGGTAGTGGTGGAAATCGCCGTACTTGTAGTCCAGATAACGGGGGCAAGCGCAAGTAATAAGGACTTGTTGGGCCCAGAATAAAGGCAGAGACCGGAATTCGTGGGATAGAAACCACAGACGTAATTATCAGAAAGAAAACGAAGTGGAGGATCGCTATGCAAGAGGTATGCGGCTGATGTGAATATCTTTGTAAAACATAATTTTACTGAAATTACATTTGTGACTAGATGCTCAACGGGGTAGGCAGCCTAGACCACGTACTTCAACTGAAGGTAGGTTCACATCATCACGTTGTGTGGACTGTCAGCTAATATTACTTATTTGAAAAATTCGGTCTCCCTATTCTTGTCGTGTGATTTTTTGATTCAAGTCTCATGGTAATCGGATAGTGGTGTTCTGCAGTTAAGAGTGAATGTCATGTATCCGCACCATCAGGTTTATCAGCAGCAGTCACTGCTCGCTCTCCTTTTCAAGATGTTATGTCCTGATAAGTGTTACCTTCAACATTTGTCGCATGAATGCAACCACCCGTGTCACGTGTCTACATTATCTTTTTAGTATCACGTCTCAAATCTCAAAATGTGTTGCTACTCTCACTAGATGGTCTAGTACGATATATCTGCGAAAATTTTTTGATGTGTTAGAAAATGTATGGTGGCACAGTAAAGAATTTTTCGGAGATTACATGAGAGGATTAGGATAGGGGGGCCAGTTTCAGTGGAGACAAACACTCTTCTTCTGTCAAGCCACAGAATCATGGAATTTAAGACAGGGGTGGTAAACGGATAGTGCATCGTTACTTCTACGGTAAGAGAGGTGAAATACTCTCCAAGACAATTGATCATGGGAACAGGTAATGACTAACGACTTTAACCGTAATTTGGTGTACCATTTCAACCTTTGTGGAGGAAGCCGTGCGTTGGCAGAATTTTAACAAGAAATTTTCGCCGAAGAGGCTGCGTTATTTAAATTGTGAGTCTTGGGTTACACACAACAGAGGCATCAAGGTGACCAAGTTAACACCGCCTTACATTTTGGGACTAGAAACAAGTTTCACGCCTGTTAAAATGTAGTGTGATTTGATAATAATAACAATAATAATAATAATAATAATAATAGCTCCTGGATATACAGGCACATACCAGTTTTACGTGCTTGAACAAATTTCTGTGTAAATCACATGTTTCTTAACAGCAGGTGGCCTCAAGCCCATCTATTAAGTCACTAGAAGACATTTGCTCTGCATGCTTATAAAGCGAAACATGCCAGAAGTATGCGCGAACAAGATGGACAAATGGTAGTTCTGTCTTCACGTTGGTAAAAGCACTAAAAATAGTGTCTGATCATCACTTTTCGCTCGGAGAAAATAAATTTTGAAGCTAGTCCCTCCAACTTTACATGTATATTTCGCTTAAGAATAATGATGAAAAGTTCATGAATGAATATCCCCATCTTTTTTTGCTGCTTATTGTACTTTGTTGATTCTGGAACTTTGTATTTCACGCATTTTCTCATCAGCTCAAATCAGAGATTCATGATCTTTATGAATAATACGTCTGCGAGCCGAATATCTACATTTTCTACACATGTAACCTACGTCAGTTCATATCCAGCCCAACCCTACGCTCTCATACCCACAAACCAAAATTTGCCGAAACACGCGAAAATGAAGGCCAAGGAGCTTAGGACCCCGACCGATGCGTTGAAACGGACCTGCGGGGGTGGAAGAATTTAGATATTCGACTCGTAGATGTAGTATTCAGAGGGGTTATGAATGTTTGGTTCAAGCTGACGGAAACTGCGTGAGATACACGATTGGATGCGGACCGATGCGAGTCACGAGTGTTTTTCCGATCAGCTGGTGTTATAAAAAGTGGAGTAGCTGGGAGAATTGTAAAACGGAAGCGTCTCTTGATTTTTGTTTCAGGTGTAAGATGTCTCGTTTGATCGACGGATCTTACTGAGATAACAAAGTGGAATAAACTGTCGATAATTTGGACGCGATACACATCATTGTAACGTGCTACGTAAATGCCGCATGTTCTAGCAGGAAGTGTTGGACATGTTAATGAGGTAAATGTTGGTAACAGTATTCC